CCACATAATCATATTTTAGTTTCTAGATTTTTACCACAAAATTTCATTGGGGACCCACTACTCAACCATATTTAGTTCCTAACTTTGTCCTACAGAACTTCAATGGACGCCACTACTCAACCATATTTTAGTTCCTAATTTGTCCACAGAACTTCAATGGGACCCACTACTCAACCATATTTTAGTTCCTAATTTGTCCACAGAACTTCAATGGGACCCACTACTCAACCATATTTTAATTCCTAATTTGTCCACAGAACTTCAATGGGACCCACTACTCAACCATATTTTATTTTCTAATTTGTCCACAGAATCTCAACGGGCGCCACTACTCAACCATATTTTAGTATCTAATTTGTCCACAGAATCTCAATAGGGGGTCACTACTCAACCATATTTTAGTTTCTAATTTGTCCACAGAATCTCAATGGGCGCCACTACTCAACCACATATTATTATCTAATTTGTCCACAGAATCTCAATAGGGGTCACTACTCAACCATATTTTAGTTTCTAGTTTGTCCACTGAATCTCAATGGGCGCCACTACTCAACCACATTTTAGTATCTAATTTGTCCACAGAATCTCAATAGGAGTCACTACTCAACCATATTTTAGTTTCTAATTTGTCCACAGAATCTCAATGGGAGCCACTACTCAACAGAACCATATTTTAGTTTCTAATTTGTCCACTGAATCTCAATGGGAGCCACTACTCAACAGCACCATATTTTTGTTTCTAATTTGTCCACTGAATCTCAATGGGAGCCACTACTCAACAGAACCATATTTTAGTTTCTAATTTGTCCACAGAATCTCAATGGGAGCCACTACTCAACAGAACCATATTTTAGTTTCAAATTTCTCCACACTATTTCCTTAGTGTTTAGAGTAGTATAATGTGTCAAAATAAATGTGCCCAGACTGTGAATCTGAGAGTCCATGGTTCACATCCCGTTGTCACCGTCAAGTCTCACAACTCTGTTAGTAAGTATTAGTCTACGCATTGGGGGTGGGCGCTGCTAACTAACGCAGGTAGCCTTTGAGAGGTTTTTCCGTGAAAAGCAAAAATTATAAAACTTATCAACAAACCATCCACACACATATTGTGTATAAGAAGGTAAAGACTTTGATAAAGTGTGACATTATCTCTTACTTAAGCAGGAGAGTGTATTAATCACCCCAGAAGTGTGGTGTTTTTGAATATTTATTTAACTACTCCACCTCTTCTCCCATTCTCCGCCTAAGGGGAACGCTAACTTGACGACCCTCTTCCCTTGTGTAAATATCCATTGGTCTAAAGCATAGAGGGGTGGTTGCAAAAGTGATTAGGTTCAGGGGTGGTTGCAATGTAAATTAATTGAGGGGTAGTTGCAAAAGTGTCAGAAGAATTGTTCAGATGTAAAACTTTAGTGTCACGAGACAGTGAGGGGAAGAGACACGTGTTTTATAATATTTGTTCAGCAAATGACATAAGCACGTGAACTTGGAATGCTGAATTCGGAAGGAATAGGGTTGGGTGGGTGGGTTAAAGGCCCTATGGCCGAATATGATTTCCTGTTTTGTATCTAAAAATAAAATACAACAGTGTAACGGTGTAATGTCTCTTTTATTGGTTGACGAAAATATAAGCAGCTTTTAAACCCTGGAAGAGCTTAGACCCTCCAGGCAATAAACAATAGAGGACGAATGATTGGTTTTTGTTAACACAAAGTTACACAGTGGGCTATCTGTGCTGTGCCCATCACAGGTATCGAAATACGATTTGTAGAGCCCTAAGCTTCACTAGGAGACGAAAGGAGAATGAACAATCGATTCAGAGTTTGTGGCTTTTAGAAAAAGTCATGTTGGTGGATTAAGAATGAAAAATAATATTGTTTTCGTTTTGCTTTTAGTTTTCGAGATATGATTTTAACAACAATTTGAATATAATCAATCATCCAGAGAGATTAAAGACAAGTTTTGAGTGTTATTTTTCCTACAAACTAGGTTGAAAAATGAGAATGGTTAACAGAAGATCAGGAGTGAATAATACCTAAAAATGAAAAGTGGTTAACAGAAGATCAGGGGTGAATAATATCTAAAAATGAGAAGTGGTTAACAGAAGATTAGAAGTGAATAATATCTAAAAAATAGAAGTGGTTAACCTAAGATCAGGAGTGAATAAACCTACAAATGAAAAGTGGTTAACAGAAGATCAGGGGTAAATAATATCTAAAAATGAGAAGTGGTTAACAGAAGATTAGAAGTGAATAATATCTAAAAATTAGAAGTGGTTAACCTAAGATCAGGAGTGAATAATACCTAAAAATGAGAAGTGGTTAACCTAAGATCAGGAGAAAATAAACCTAAAAATGAAAAGTGGTTAACAGAAGATCAGAAATGAATAATATCTAAAAATAAGAAATGGTTAACAGAAGATCAGACGTTAATAATACCTAAAAAGAAAAGCGGTTAACAGAAGTTCAGAAGTGAATAATATCTAAAAATGAGAAGTGGTTAACAAAAGATCAGGAGTGAATAATACCTAAAAATCAGAAGTGGTTAACCTAAGATCAGGAGAAAATAAACCTAAAAATGAAAAGTGATTAACAGAAGATCAGAAGTGAATAATATCTAAAAATGAGAAGTTGTTAACAGAAGATCAGGAGTGAATAATAACTAAAAATGAGAAGTGGTTAACAGAAGATCAGAAGTGAATAATAACTAAAAATGAAAAGTGGTTAACAGAAGATCAGGAGTGAATAATATCTAAAAATGAGAAGTGGATAAAGATCAGGAGTGAATAATACCTAAAAATGAGAAGTGGTTAACAGAAGATCAGGAGTCAATAATATCTAAAAATGAGAAGTGGTTAACAGAATATCAGAAGTGAATAATAACTAAAAATGAAAAGTGGTTAACAGAAGATCAGGAGTGAATAATAACTAAAAATGAGAAGTGGTTAACAGAAGATCAGGAGTGAATAATACCTAAAAATGAGAAGTGGTTAACAGAAGATCAGGAGTGAATAATATCTAAAAATGAGAAGCGTTTAACAGAAGACCAGAAGTGAATAATATCTAAAAATGAGAAGTGTTTAACAAAAGATCAGGAGTGAATAATACCTACCCAGAAAAGTGGTTAACAGAAGATCAGAAGTGAATAATATCTAAAAATGAGAAGTGTTTAACAGAAGACCAGAAGTGAATAATATCTAAAAATGAGAGTGGTTAACAAAAGATTAGGAGTGAATAATATTTATTATTCAAATAGCGTTGTTGTGAAAAAAAGAATTTGGTATTATATTCGCGACTGGAACATCACTAATACTTATACTAAATCGTCCTTCAGTTCTCTGTTCTATTTAATGGTGTGATAGAATATTAAACTATCCTATTAATTACTGTATTATAGTAGCGCCCTCTAGTAGATTATATTGGTAGCTCATTGCGTGCAGTATATGATTTTCAAAAATGTTTTTAAATTTGTCAATGTAAACAAAATTTTATGAAATACTTCTAACCCTCTGGTCAGTTTCAATAATGGTGAATAAATTAAGAATGAATTTTATATTGTTTCTGTAAGATATACAGTTGATTAGATTTAAGCGTTTGCTGCATCAGTAAGAAACTTGAAATAAAATGTTTAATTATTAAGTTACGATTTATGATTGAGTAGGAACCAAATTATAGCAACACTATACATACTTAAAACAGCAATCAATAGCGACATGTTAGTCCTAGCGACATGTTAGTCCTAGCAACACTATACATACTTAAAACAACAATCAATAGCGACATGTTAGTCCTAGCAACACTGCACATACTTAAGACACGAAACCAACAGCGACAGGTTAGTCCTAGCGACATGTTAGTCTTAGCGACACTGCACATACTTAGACACGAAACCAACAGCGACAGGTTAGTCGTTAGTCCTGACGTATTGACTTCAGTTTTGTAAGTACCTCTGGTCAATCAAAAAGAAAGAAAGAAAAAGGAACAGAGACCCCCGTGAAAACATTTAATTTAAAACGTTATTTTAGAGTTAATATATTTGTTTGCTTGTTTGTTGACCAACACAAAGCCACGCAATGGACTAACTATGTTGGGCCCACCACGGGTATCGAAATCCAGTTTTTAGGGTTGAATGCCTTCAGACTTACCTGAGCCACTGCAAGGGATGGGGGGCATAATATAATAAATGCTCTTCGGCGGCTCAGCTGTAAGTTGAAGGGATTATAACGCTAAAATTCGGGATTCGGTGGGAATAGTATAGATGATCATTGTGCTTAACAACAAACCATAATAATATGTAAATATGTTGATACTACTTGAGTGAAAACTTTCTTCTGTCCTCCCCCCCCCCCCCTCGAAAGCAATAGTATATTTCGCTTACTTTAAAGACACCGATAACCATTCACTCATGTTGCATATACAGTATATGGACGTTGTAGTTAGCTATATAACAGAAACAGTGGTGTGTGTGTTTTATGTAACTTAGGAGTGAGAACTCAGATCCGAAGTGAGTTGATAACCCAGTTTCTTCACTGGTCTATCGTTTTCTGTAAGCAAGATTAAAATGCTTAGTTTTATTAAAGTAAAAAAAATGAACCCATATAACGCTTATAAACTTAAAAATACATTTGAACGTGACTTGAATCAGGTAGTTTTAATACTTTTTGTTAAATCAAATTGAGTTAAATGTATTGCCACAAGAGACGTATAACGTTTTTTCTATAAGTTGAAATATATATCTATATATATATATATTACCTACAAAGCATAATCTGTTGGAGAAAAAATATACATATTTGTACATTAGTTATTTTATTTCTTTTCTACATATGTAGCTTACTTTTTACCAAGGAGACACTTAACACCGTATATCTTCAAAACTATTCGTTTGTACAAACACTTAACACCGTATATCTTCTAAACTATTCGTTTGTACAGACACTTAACACCGTATATCTTCTAAACTATTCATTTGTACAGACATTTAACACCATATATCTTCTAAACTATTCGTTTGTACAAACACTTAACACCGTATATCTTCTAAACTATTCGTTTGTACAAACTTAACACCGTATATCTTCTGAACTATTCGTTTGTACAAACACTTAACACCGTTTATCTTCTGAACTATTCGTTTGTACAAACACTTAACACCTAATATCTTCTAAACTATTCGTTTGTACAAACACTTAACACCGTATATCTTCTAAACTATTCGTTTGTACAAACACTTAACACCGTATATCTTCTAAACTATTCGTTTGTACAAACACCTAACACCGTATATCTTCTAAACTATTCATTTGTACAGACATTTAACACCATATATCTTCTAAACTATTCGTTTGTACAAACACTTAACACCGTATATCTTCTAAACTATTCGTTTGTACAAACTTAACACCGTATATCTTCTGAACTATTCGTTTGTACAAACACTTAACACCGTATATCTTCTAAACTATTCGTTTGTGCAAACACTTAACACCGTATATCTTCTAAACTATTCGTTTGTACAAACACCTAACACCGTATATCTTCTAAACTATTTGTTTGTACAGACATTTAACACCGTATATCTTCTAAACTATTCGTTCGTACAGACATTAAACACTATATATCGTCTAAACTATTCGTTTGTACAGACACTTAACACTATATATATCTAATGTATATGTAAAACAACGGTTTGTCTGAACGATCAACTAATTTAGATATTTTGTTTTCGTTAAAATATAAAATGTTAATTTGTTGAATAAATAGTTTAAGTAACACTCATCATTCTGATTAAATAACTTGTTAGTTGTTTGTGATACATCAGTTTCTAAAGAACTTGCATAAAAGCAAGTATACATTTCTGTATTTCCACAGGAATGTCTGAATACTGGCTTATGTGAAGGATCTGTTTATTGTTCAGTCATATAACTAACTGAAATAGAAAAAGAGTCTAAAGTTACAGAAATGAATGCACTTTGAATAAGTCAGAGACGAACTGTCGTGAGCAGGTAGCTAGTCCATTTCAGAAATCTAAGCAAACTCCGTGTTTCATTGAAAATAGGGTAATTAGCTGCGCTAGAGTTTTAACTTTATTATAGGAACGAACAGAGAAGGCAATGAAAACTCATTTTGTATACTGATTTCATTTCGTTTCACCAAAGGTTACAATTGAAAATATAACCCTAAGGCCTAATGTATATATATTTCCCTAATAACTAAAAATTAGTACAGTTTTATATGATAAACACTGTCAGAATTATTTGTAGACAAACTCAGTGTGTTAACAGTCTGTGTTGAAACAGAAAACGTTATGTGATGCTCTGTTTTGCTGGTCATGCTTTCCGACGTATCGTGTTTTGATTTATGTTCATATGCAGTGTTATTTCAAAGACATAAAACAGATAACTTGGTGTTGGAGATAGAAGATTTATCTCGACCATTAGGAAGATAATACATGTTGACGTAGAATGAAAGCTCCAATCACAGTAACTAGTCCCCCAGTTGTACAGTGAGTCTCAGCTCAAGCAATTCGTGGCAGAAAACGACATATTAAAAACACAATTAACTGTCACATATTTTCATGTTCTATTTGTTAATGTCAAATACTTAGTCTTCGTGTTGCACTCTTTAAACACAGGTCAAAACTTATAATCCTTCTAGAACAAGTGGAAGACATATGATACTCATTTGTAATAACTATGGTAACGGAAACAAATTTTCTACTGTTTGAAAGAGTTGACAAATATTTATCATACCCTCTTACTTTGGCTTATTATTCAAAAAGTTAAGCAATAATGATTAATTTAATTTTTTGTTTGCTAGAGATAGATCCCGGATTCACATTAACTTGTATAACCTATACTTGTCTCGTGTGACAGTTCTTTACCTAACAAACGACACGAGTCTTTATTAGATTAGATCAGCTCTTAAATAATACAACACAACAAAACGTTTCACCAAGTTAAACACAGCTTTGTCAAGTGAAATATATATAATAAAAAACAACACAGCATTTCACTGCATTAGCACAGTTTTATCACTGGATTAGAAAATAAAAAACAGCCCAACGTTTCACTGTGTTAAC